GGTAGCAATACCGCACTCACTGACCCTCTTTGTCGTTCCGGGTGCATTTCCGAAGGTCTACTTGGCTATGCCGAGCAATCGAAAGGGTATAGAATTTGGATACCTGCAGAAAGAAAAATAATAATTTCCCGGGACGTCAAATTTTCGGAAGGAACTTCAAGGGATTCGAACAAAAATTATGGAGACCTCTTGCTCGAAGAGACTACAACGGAAGAGATGAATGCAGTATCGAATGAAATGATCATTGACTGCGGAACCCCCGCGAGCAATCGCAATAAAGTCACCGAGGACGTCGTGGTCGGAGAATCACGCGAGGAAAGTGGTCCAAATGATGCTGTTTTGAGAAGAGGACCAGGCACACCTCGTATCCTACGTACAGGTCGCAAGGGAAGACCTCGAAAAGTATATCATCAGGTTGATAACCACGTAAACAATGACGACCACCAGGACGATAATGACCCAGAATTGGAGAGAGCTGCCGAAGACAGTATCGAAATCGCATGCACAGCAGAAATTCCAATAAAACTAGCGATGTCTGGACCCGAAATGGGTGAGTGGAAACGTGCGATGGCTGGAGAGGTTCGTTCAATACTAAAGAACGATACATGGGACCTCGTTGAGAAGTCAAGCTCGAGGAAGAGCGTAGGAGATTTGTTCTGCGAAATAAGTATGCCTCAAATCGATCACTGCTTAAAAGAAAAGCGCGAATTGTAGCGCGCGGTTTTACTCAGAGGCCTGGTGTCGATTTCTTTGAGACATTTGCCCCAGTGGCCCGGTTAAGCTCGATTAGACTCGTACTCGACCGCGCTCGCTGCACAGCATGGAATGAAAATTCGACAATTCTACATATCTACAGCCTACCTTAACGGGATCCTGAAAGAAGATGTTGTATGGATATTCCTGAATTTCTTGAAGAAGCCTTGGTAAAAGTAATTCGCATAGAATCCAACGCTGAAATTCGAAGGAAAGCCGCGAAGATGCTGGGAGAAATAAAAGCAGGCGGCAAGTTGTGTCACCTGAAGAAGGCGTTATACGGCCTTCGGCAAGCTGGTCGAAGTTGGCATACCAAACTCGATGGCGAACTGAAGAATCCAGGAGCGAAGCCGACGAATGCAGATCCATGCGTCTACTGTATCGGTCGAGGGGAAGATTTTGCGATGATAGTGGTCTATGTCGACGACATTTTAGTCGCTGCTCGGAAGCAAGATTCGATTCGAATGATTCCAAATCATCTAAATAATTCGTTCGAAGTAAATGATCTTGGAAATGCTAAATGTTGCATTGGCATCGAGTTTGAGCGCGCAGACGGGAAAATAAAAATTAGTTAGAAGGGTTATATTACCGATTTGCTCTCACGTTCCGGTATGGACAAGTGCAACCCTGTATCGACTCCAATAAGCCCCGGCGCGAAATTGGAAAGAAGCTCGGAACAAGGAGACGAGAAATTACCCTATCATGAGTTGATAGGGGGTCTCATGTACCTGGCGGTAGCGACACGACCCGACATCGCTTTTGCCGTGAGCTATTTGAGTCAATTTTTGACTTGTTATGACGAAAGTCATTGGACGGCAATTTAAAGGGAGTTTTGTGCTACCTGGAAGGCACGATGAACCTCGGCATAACCTACGGATCCATGGACGAACCTTTAAATGGATACGTCGACGCAGATTGGGCAAATTGTTCCGTCGATAGAAAATCTTTCACGGGATATGCTTTTGTACTTGCAGGCGGTGCCATCAGCTGGTGTTCGAGGAAGCAAAGGACCGTTGCGCTTTCCTCAACGGAATCGGAATACATGGCACTGGCTGAAGCCACAAAAGAGGCAATTTTTCAGCGTGGGTTTTTGATCGAGCTCGGGTTCAATCACCATAAGGTTGTCATAATTTACAATGACAACGTAGGAGCTTCGAGGATTGCTGAGAATCCTGTTTTTCATGACCGCACGAAGCACATTGACGTGCGACATCATTTCGTGCGGGAGACTCTTAAGGGTATACAGGAGTCAAACTAGTACCCCTGGCGGAAAAACTGGGAACTACGAAAACTCTCTTCTCATTTTCTAGACATAATTTTGAGAAAAATGCGATAAAATTTAGATATTCTCGTTCAGGAAACGTATGTCCAGGTCTGTATGCAATCATTTTTTGGAAAAACTGATAAAAAAAATTTTTTCTGTGCAAAAATGTGTTTTTTCTCAAGTTTCCACAGCAAAATTAGAAAATCGGGAGGCATACCGACCTGTGGGTTTCTACAAGGAACATTTAGGATAAAAAATTATAAGAAAATATTGTCCCATAGCCTCATAATACTTGAATTAAGAAAATCACTAAATTTGGTTCGTTTGAATGGCAAAATAGTTCCTCGATTATCGCGCTAGTGTCGCGTAGCAGAACCGCTGTTAGAGGTTACTAGGCCCCGTGTCAATATTTATTGGCACTTTTCGATCACAATTGCAAAAAAAATGCATAGTGAGCTGGACATTCATGTATAGGATAAGAATGTCATGAACCTTATGTAGCTATTTTTTGGAAAAATCGTCAGGAACATGAAATTCATCGTTAAAAATATGTTTTTCTGGACTTTCAAAGGTGAAATTAGAAAATCGGGGGAAATACAGACGTGTGGGATTCCACAAGGAACATTTAGGATAAAAAATTATAAGAAAATATTGTCCCATAGCCTCATAATACTTGAATTAAGAAAATCACTAAATTTGGTTCGTTTGAATGGCAAAATAGTTCCTCGATTATCGCGCTAGTGTCGCGTAGCAGAACCGCTGTTAGAGGTTACTAGGCCCCGTGTCAATATTTATTGGCACTTTTCGATCACAATTGCAAAAAAAATGCATAGTGAGCTGGACATTCATGTATAGGATAAGAATGTCATGAACCTTATGTAGCTATTTTTTGGAAAAATCGTCAGGAACATGAAATTCATCGTTAAAAATATGTTTTTCTGGACTTTCAAAGGTGAAATTAGAAAATCGGGGGAAATACAGACGTGTGGGATTCCACAAGGAACATTTAGGATAAAAAATTATAAGAAAATATTGTCCCATAGAGTCATAATACTTGTATTAAGAAAATCAGTAAATTCGGTTCGTTTGAATTCCCACTACTATAATATACTGAAGTGCGAACGTGCTACAGTATGTTGAGACGTACACATATAAGAGTAAACATAGACAGCGTGAGCGGGCCGAAAAACGGGCCGCGGGACGGGACGGTAGAAAGAGGAAGATGGCAAATAGTGATCTCTTTCTTTGTCTAGCCGCT